CACTGATAGGTTTGAGCCAAAAGAACATCATATGTGCTCATGCAAACCCTAATGCTTGGATTTAGGTTTCTCTATTGTACATGCAATTCATCCAAGACTTTCTAACCCTAGATCTAGTGTATATAATCGAAATTAACATCACAAATCAGATCTAGATGTTTACCTTGTTGTTGATTGAAGATCTTGAAGCCTTGAGAACTTTAGCACCTCAAGTGTTGTGCCTCTAGTGAATCACAAACACCAATATCAATTGGAGGAAACAAGAGAGAGAGAGAGAGAGAGAGAGAGAAGGGAGAGGAGAATTTCGGCTCTAGGACTTCTAGGGTTCAAGTGGCCGAAATTCCCATGCCAAGGGGTCCTTTATATAGGTGTAGGAATTAGGGTTTCAGTGATTATTCTTATCTGGTTACTTAGCCACCAAGCAGCCCGTAAGATAATTCCAGAATCCCTATCATGGACGAATTCTTAAGGGTTTATCCCTAGAATTCGTCCACCCCATCTATTAGGGTTTCCTTGCCCAACTTAGTAACTATCTCATAATTACAGTTCAGCCCCTTAAGTTCAATTAACTTCTTTTGATCACAAAATTAATTCTTAATTAATTATTGACCAATGTTAATTAAACAAATATGATTTCTCTTTTAATATATTAGTCTTATAATATATTAATGAACCATAATCACCTCTTTCTATATTATTCCTCCAGTCAAGTTGCTTTGGTGAAGACAACCCAAAAGGACCATGCACAACCGGGTCAGGTACATACCAAATATAGTTATGGACTTAGACACTAATCCAACACGGCGTTGGTCCCAATGAATCAAAAAAAAGGCTAGTAAAAATAGTGCGGCATCAAGTAGTAACACAAAAGGGAAAGGGACACAAGGGACTCAGGAGATGCTAGAGACGCACGGAACATAAGAGACGCGCTGGAAGAGTGGGACGAAGAGAGAAGACTATTGTTCAACGTTTGATTTGAATGATTGATGTTGTATTTATAATTAATTATGTTTTGTTTTAGAGGACATTAATTTGTGTACTTTGAAATGGTGTGTTTATTTTAAAGATGATGGGTAATATTATGATTATATTAATGCATCATTACTAGTAGAATAATAACTAAAACTCGAAGATAATACATTCAACAAACCAGAAACATATAGTAAACGTACAACAACACTAATTAACTTAAGGGAATTGCAAAGGATACTTTTCTTTCTCCATTGTTATGTAGTCGTCCCTAATTCTTAATTTATCTTCCATACGGTCCTTTTACCTCCCAAGTTCTATCATTTCTGCATCCTTGTCAGCAAGCCATTTTTCAGACAGTTTGATATTCTTCTTAGTTTTTTTTTATCCATTCCTCATGATCTTTGATTTTTTTTAGTAATCGTCATCCTTTCCTCAACCTCTTTGCACTCCGCCGCAATGAGGTCACGACGTTCAGTGAGAGCTCGAGATGACTCTTTATTTTTTTTTGTTCTTCAGCCCATTGTAGTTGTTGCAAAGTATCCTCAGACATATACGACTCTCTTAAATTTGGTGATGGGGCAAGAAAAGGGTCGATCGGATCACAATAGAAACAATCAACTTCGTTGCACGAGCAAATATACAAACTTGAAGATGAACTCATTTTAAATTTAAAAAAAAATTATAACTCTATACCATAAATCCAACGACCATCCATGACTATATATAGTCCCTTCAACTCCGCAGAGATAATGTTTGTCAGTCCGCAAAACTTTTTGTCAGTCCGCAGAGCTGTTGGTCAGTCCGCAGAGCTGTTTATCAGTCCGCAAAACTGTTTGTCAGTCCGCAGAGCTGTTTGTCTAGTCGTTGTCATCCACACATTACAATTATGGGAATACAATTATTTATTTAAAGGTAAACATTTTTTTATTAAAACTAAACAACGCCAACAGACCATTACAACTACGGTTAACATAGAACTGAATACAAACTAATATTCGTTGTGATCCATACAATACCGTTCAATTGAATTGTCGTGGAGGTAAGACCACAACACTTTCAACTGGTATTTCCCAATGCCTAAGGGTTGGAATAGGATTGACCGTCTCAGTTTGATAACCATTTCGATACACCGCGGTACTTAACTTTAAATTTACCATTTGCTGGATTTCTGCAATTTCAAGCCGTTGTAGTGAAGCTATAGCATGCTCACAAGGTATACCGCATTTTTGCCATTTACCGCAACTACAAATACCACGGTCTAATTGCACAGATTCGGTTGTTGAATACTTACTCACTTCATATCTGTCGCCAACAATATGCCTAATCCTACAACCATCCGAGTGGATAAATCTTTTATGAATCACCTTAAGTGCATAAGGGGTTAGAAGACCATGAAAATCCCCTGTGAAATGAACTGAATGAAAAAACAAAAATTTTGATGTCATAACGTATAATAACATATCAATTGACCATTTGAGTGATGTCATAACTTATAATTACCTCCAAACGCAGCACGTTGACGATACACTGCTTGCATCGAGTCATGGACCATTTCAATAATTGTTATTATTGGAAACTCATGTCTGTTTGTTCTAAACCAATTGACAACATCGGGAATGTCAATGAATTTAACATTGAAACGTACTCTAGGAAAAAAAGCCCGTACCCATTTTTTAATGGGAATATTTTCAAGCCAATGAGGATCATTCCCATTAACCTCATTTTGTAAGTTGTTCAAACATGCATAAAAATTATACATATTATACGCTTTACAAGTCTTCAAGAACAACTTCTCTACGACTGTATTGCTTCCGGTGGAAGCGCGTATCTTCTCGGCTATATTTTTACAACAATAGCCATGATATGAATCAGGGTAGACTCTTTGAACTGCAAAGTCTATGGAATCAGACATATGGCTTATGAAACCAACTTCCGTATTGTCACCTAAACATTCTTTAAGCCTCCTCATGAACCATAACCATGAATTGTCATAGTTTATGGTTCCCAAAGCAAACACTATGAGAAGGGGTTCATGATTTCCATCTAAAGCAACCGCAATGTACATGGATGTTACATACGCCCCAATCAGAGGTACTTGACCAACGAATATGATTGGTATCATAGACGTGAGAAACGTACGAATCTGCAAGTCAAGATAAGAATATTAGCCATATAACAACTTCAAATAAGTAAATATTTATTTACTATAACAAATTACATACCACGCATCCCAATGCCACAAAACAAATTTGGAAAGGATTGTACTGATCTTTTGTAATGTACGTGAAGGTGTTAGGATTGGTTCTTTGCAGATTATGGAAAAAAGTCGGTAGGTTGGAGAAACTTTTTCTTAATACCTGATTGACTGAACTCATTTTCACAACTTTCGACACCTTGTAAAAATGAAAAATGTTTGTCCAATTTAAAAGGAATCAATATACATTATTCCGCAGAACTTACTTGTCAGTCCGCGTAAATGACCTGTCAGTACGCGTAACCTGTTTGTCAGTCCGCGTAACCTGTTTGTCAGTCCGCAGAGCTGTTTGTCTGTCCGCAATATGGACGGCAGTAATGTTTTTATGTTATTTGTAATGTTTATTTTGTTTGAATTAATGTATGGTTTCGTAACATTTGTTGTGCTCTTATGTTTCAAAAAATAAAGGATAAATACCATATTACATATAAATAAAGCAATACAAAACGCAATACTAGTTAATAAAACGGGACATTTTTCAAAAGATTCCAAGGGGCTTCATACTCGAAACTCTCTCCATTGCTAATGGATTTGTATTGTTCTTTAGCTGCCTCCAAGATGTCTTCATCAGTATCATTCACACGATCGTCTTCAATCTTCTTATAAAGATCGTTGAATAACACAACTTCTGTTTTCAATTCATACCATTTTGCTGCTATATCAAGCGTGATGCGATGGTTTTCTATGGTGGTTTCAGCGTCGGTGTTGAAGGTATTGGTTAATAGGAGCAAAAACATTCTATTTGTCAAACTGTTGTTCTCGTAGACATTAATATATGCACGAGTTAGAAGCAAATACTCGTTAGCGGTCCATGGTTTTGAACCCATTGTAAAACATACAAAGTAAATGAACTAAAATAGATTAGATGAAGTGATACACAGTTTTTTGTCGTTTTATATAGACACGACAGTCCGCAAATATCCAACGATCATCCATGACAATATATAGACCCTTCAACTCCGCAAAGAGCTGTTTGTCAATCCACGTTACTGACTTGTCAGTCCGCGTTATTGACTTGTCAGTCCGCGTAGCTGTTTGTCAGTCCGCGTTACTGACTTGTCAGTCCGCGTTACCTATCTTTTTATATATAGTAAAGCATGTATCGATACATCCGAATTAAAGGTAAGGGATCATTTCACAAAATGGCATCCAATGTACCAACTTCTTCAAATGCAGCTAATCCGTCTAATGCGTCTGCTCCAAAAATGGTACATATCCATGGACGACAATAGAGGTGTTGGTCCTAACACGATGTTGGATTATCATTTACGAGGGTCTATCGGTAATCGCTCCCCTTAATTGCCTTGTTGGTGATGAATGGTCCCGCTTAGTAGCTTTGTTCAACTATGAGGTGGGACAAGGAAAAGAACGACTAAAACCCGATATTGTTAGTAAATGGATGGATTTAAAGACAAAAGTCATATGGTTCAATCGATGCTACAATTATGAGAAAATGTGATGCTCTGATGCTGACGATGAAGAACTTCTTGAATACGTGAACGGATATTACCTGTGCCAGTTTGATGAAACTGATTTCGAGTATACAGACGTTTGGAATCTGGTTAAAAATAAACCCTTTTTCATGTAGACGACTCTTTTATTCGTAATGTTTTATGCAATGTTTGTTAGTCGTTCATCTTTTATTTGTAATGTTTTGTGTAATGTTATTATGTTATTTCTAATGTTTATTTTGTTTGAATGTATCGTAATATATGTTGGTGAATTATGTTTCAAAAAATATAGGATAAAAAACATATTTATATTAAACAAAACTACTAAAAAAAGTATTTCATAATAATGTATACAAACTTCCAAACATCAAGTTATTTAGTATCCCAAATAATATTTGTCATCCTATTTCTGTAGAGAAATCCTGCATCTCTACATGGCTTATCACTCTTCACCAGTACCCCCAAAGCAATCATTTCCATATACATGCTTACGAATACTCCACAATCCCCGCTATTAAGAATATATTCCTGTTGTGGCGCGTCTACAATATCAATAAACTCCACAACTGCGTTGTCTTTGTGTCCATCGGGAAAATCGTTCTAGTAGTCAATGACATCTAGCTCTGAGATAATACTATCCCCAAAACTTTTGAATTCTCCACCAGTCAAGTACTGTGTGAAGAAATTCATAGATCGTGCTGAATCATAAATGTGTACTTTCCAAATATCTAAATGTAGCACTGCCAAAAACCAATGGGCATGAGGAACGTTTATGGGGAATAGAACCTGCAAACAAAAACAAATATAATAGTCATTAATTCAGTTCCTATATAAAATAAATAATTAATAAACTTAACTAACCATATCCACATCCTTCCATTTAGGATGGCCTCCGACACCATTTGCTATATTCCTAAGAAAAAATGTTTTTCCGTTTTGCAAATTAAGTTCTTGAGGGAATATCGTCCACCTTGCGTTCGCCAGCCGTCTTTCCATGAGCAAGGCACTCCATATCGCAATATGCTGTACATTTTAAGATAAAAATGTTACAGTTTTTTATATAAATTATCGTCTAAAAATGTAGTTAAAAATTATATTTAACGAATGTTACCGAAGAAATTAACCACCCAGCGTCAGTAACTGCAAGTAACATTGACCAAAACTCCACATCCAGTGTGAGCATATGCAGCCTATGTTTAGTGTTTAGGTTGGAAGAGATCGTATTCTATTCTCTCCAAAAACTCAACGTACTGGCACCTTCAACACTGTCGAGCAGGAGATGATTTGAAACATCATTACTCTCTTCATTCACAATGTCTTCATTTGCTTTTTCAGGACTCTTCACCACTTTTTTTTTCTTTGCTTTGGTGATTTTCTTCAATTTTGGTGTGGATTGCAACTAAAAAATTAACATGTTAAATAATTATCAATACGTTAATATTTTAAAAATATACCAAATTTAAAATATGAGTTTTGTACCACTGTGAACGGAGTCCGTTGATACCATGGAACACCCCTCTTTCGTTGCGGCCTAACAATAGGAGTCATTTCTTTTGTGTGATGTTAACCCACGTCCGATGACGGCTCAACATGCGTAGGTGTAGGCCCAAATTCCACCTCCAAACCATGAGTACTTATATCATTATAATGCAAATGTGTATCATGGTAATATTTTTTTTCCTCCTCTTCATTTATCATCTCCTCCTCCTCCTCCTCCTCTCGAAACCCTCTGTCTTGTTCAAAATTTCTGTCTGGTTCATCTTTTTTCTGTAATACACGATCTACTTTAGAAGTTAAGTCAGCCACAACGCCTAGTAGACGCTTCACTAATGCCTTTGTGGTTGTCTTCTTCTTCTTTACCAACCTTGATGTGTCGTTTGACATATAACTTGTTTCTATTTCAGGACGTTGCGAGGAAGAAGCATTTGTGCCAGATTCGGTCGAAGATGTTTCTATTTCGGACTTGTACATCTTTCTTCGAGAAGGTGAGGCAACAACAGGTGGACTATTTCGGACTGGACTATGTTGCCGTGGGGGAGACTCTACAGGGTTAAGAGTCCAATTGACATAGCGAACATAAACGACAACGTCACCTCCTCCAGGTTTGCCACGACATTAATAGGTTGGTTGTTAGGCTGCAGAAATCAGATTGTTAGTTTAACATGAAAATACATTGGAATTTGTAACTATAGATGATCGTTAATATAAAAAGCATACCACAAACACGTTGATTATTTGACAACATTGACGCCAAGATAACGATGTTTTACTTCTTCACGCCCTCATCCGTGGCAATTCTGTCGGCGTACGTATATAAAACTGGGTTATCTCTGGGAACGTCTCCAAAATCCATACCTATGAAAAAAATATAAGTATCATGCTATTATACTATAAAAGTCATAATACAAACTTATTATATAATACAAACCGAAGTTCAAAGTTTTTATAGTATAAAAAACTGATACCTATTTAAATGCATTAGAAAGTAACCTTAAACGGAAGCATAAAACCGGGAACGGTATACTTGTGTACTTTCTTGGATTCGAGATTAGTCTGCTTGAATAGTCTAAACCCTTCTATTTTCTTAAACATTCCACGCATCAAACGCGAAGTATAGGTCCAGAAATACGTACCCCATGCAAACCTGCAATTTTCAATTTATTTATTATAATTATTATTATTGCATTGCATTTATACACAATCTTTAAATGTAATACCTGTTCCAATCATCTTTATTATCAGCAAGCTTGTATACTGTTGTGGAAATGCCCATTTTAACGTCCCGTCCGTGGAGACCCTTCAACATAAAAACAAGCTGGATATGCATCGCAACATCTTCATCTTGTAGTGCCAAGTAATTCAGGGACATAATCAAGTTTTCTAAATCTTTCAACCGCAAACGTGCATCAGATATATTTTGGGAACAACCAATAACAAAGATTTGAATCTGACCGGCCTTTTTCGTCGTGGAGTAAATCCACATAAGGACCAACTTTTAAACCACAAATGAGAATATATTCATTTTCACCAAAATCCAAATGCGTCCCTTGTATATCAAAAAGAAACCTCCCCATTTCAAATACTTGTTGACACCTTACTTCGTGCAACATCATCAAATGCACAAGTAACGGATCACCATGTGGGATATGCATTCCTAAGAATACTCCGAACGGCGAAGCTTCGAATAATTGTCGTTGTGATTGTGTTAGGTGCGGAAAATAGTCTTTAATGATAGTACCCACCACACCTTTTAAAAGTTAAATCCGCTTTTTGATTGAGATCTTCGTGCTGCAAAACATAACATTTAATTTCATATAAAAGGGCAGAAAAACGGCAGAAAAAAAATTAGAAAAATCAGTTTGAGGTCATTACGCGGAGACTACAAGTCATTCCGCAGAGAACCCTCTGCGGATTGATCAATACCTCCGCGGAGGCCCAATTTTATTCATTCTTTGCATTCCCTGGAGAAAATACATCACTCCGCGGAGGGTGCTCTGCGGACTGACGTAACCCTTCGCGGAATGGATCATACCCAATCCGAAACCTGTAAAAATCGATTTCATCTAAATATGTATATTTTACCTATATATTACATGTAATCAAATCGGTTTCGACAAATTTCAATAATATACTACATTAATCCAAAGAAAGGAATGTGAGAAATACCCGGGAGCCAAATCCGTCGGCCAAAATATCGGGGAAATTGCCCTCCATAACTGCCGGAATTTAAGTTCGAAATTGAAATCGTATGTAATCGATGTCGTCGGAAAATGACGTCGTTTGATGTCGTTGTCGCCAGATTTGATGTCGGTGTCGCCGGAATCGTCGGTGGTACGTCGATGCGGAGGATTGTTTTTGTCAAAGAGGATTCGGGGGACCATTGGGGGGACCAAAGAGGAGGGTTCGATTTTGTCAAAAAAGAACATGGTGAAATGACAAAAATACCCCTCTCCGCAGAGGAAACTTCGATCCGCGGAGGTCCGCGGAGGCCCTCCGCAGAATTCATGTCTATAGCCGGAAAAGTCATTTTTTATGACTAAATTTTAAAATTGACCCCTATTTTTTGTCTATTGGCGGTATTTTCCCTTTAATATATGGAGAAGCTTTGAATTAAAATATGACAACTACACTCTACAAAGATGGAGAAGTCAAGGAAGAGGGAAACAATTTTAAGGATTAAAAAAGGAAAAACACGACTCCGTCTAAGTTTTGAAGTAAAACAACAATGTTTTTTTTGGTTCTATACCTAGTGTTGTATACCCAACCGCCACATATTTCCTATCCCCTTATTGAAATTAATATAGCAATAAAAGTATTTATTGAAATTAATATAAACGAGGGAGTTGTTAAATTTGACAATATATGGACAAAATATTACAATGGACTAAAAATAATAAAAATAAAATAAAGTAAATATTTTTTTAATAAATCAACTAAACATAATGACCAAAAACGTAATTTACTATTACAGATACTTCAAACTAAAAATAAAAAAATAAAAATAAAAAAAATAAAAAAAAAAATTATATCAATAGTTTAAAAATTTTGGTACCCTCAGCAAGTTTTTCATTCTGAACACAAAAGTTTAAAGAATACTTGCTTCCATATCACCTCTCGACAAACATTTGCAATGCCCAATATGCCCCCAGAAAATTACAACAACTAAAATCTCTACCCGTTATCTTCTTTCACACCTGAAGCAACCCAAAGATTCCATAGAACGTGAGTGCGTAAAACACGGCTCTGCGCACGTTAGCATCAACGCTCAATCCAGCGCCACTCGGCAGATTACCAGCGATGGTCCCAGGCGTCCCATCAGCGTTAGACGGAGGCTCAACGTAGGGAGGCGGGGGAGGCTGGTTGAGGTTTGGCGGAAGTCCGTCGCCGTGACTGACGTTGATACCGAACGCCATCCCATTCTCGCACTGAACACCGTCACTGGCATCGGAAAAGAAGTAGTTCAGTCCCTCGATCGTCAACGGAACTGCGACGGTCAACGGCTGCCCGAACTGTTGGTTTCCTTGGCTGTACATAAAAGTGTCACTGTCTGAAGAGTTATCAACGCTACAGCTACGGAACGTCGTCGTGTTGTAAGTCAAAACCACCGTCTGATTCGTGTTCGTGTTAAATACTACACATGAATCACAATCAGATCAACAATAAAATCAATTCAAATAAACTAAACTCAAATGACTAATCAAAATCAATAGCAATAGCAATTTTTCTGGATTCAAAATTACGCTTACTTAAGTAGTCGCCAAGATCGAAGGTTTGATTGCCGGCCCAAGAGGCGTAATTTGCGGAAGAGGTGTTGGTATTGGGGTCGAAAAGCCAACCGGCGGGGCCTCCGACAGTGTGATTGGTGTATGCGGCGGCGCTAGTGATGAAAAGCGCGATTAATGTTAAATGCACCACCGGAGCCATTGGAAGCGGCTGAAATTTTTCGGTGGTCGGTGAATGGTAGCAGCGATCTGATCTCGAAATCTGTTCAATTTGTAATCGATAGCGGCATGTGATAAAGAAAGTTCACGTCGACAGAGAAAAAGTTGACCTTTTTTTATATATTTATTACATAACTAGTTTATAACCGTGAAAACTACGGTTATAAAATTAATTAAAATTTTATAGTCAGAATTCAAAATTATTAATCAATTATTTTAAATAAATTATTAATTAAGAGATATTTTTTTAGTTATATAAAGTTATAATCATTAATTTAAATAAATATGTGAAATTATATCACCTTATAATTTGTATTAATTTTATTTTAATTTTTATTCTAATGTTATTAATTTAATGTAATTAGAGTGAGAAATTTAAAATTTGAAATTTGAAATGAAGAATTAATAGGTTGACAAGTGTCATTGATTAATTAGAAGGCCTAATATGGTGACACATGACAAAAGAAGAATAAAATATGTATTAATTAGGAGGCTTAATATGATGACACTTATCAAAAGGATATTAAAACTATTCTTTTATTACAATAGAGAGATATATCAATGGAAATTATTATTAAATTATTTTTTAGTCGTTTCGTACTTTGCATCGCATAATTCCTATGCGAAACTGCCCACAAAAATATAAAATTAAAATTTCCAAACAGTTATATATAAAATAACAATAAAAAAATAATGTTGAAAATATATATTTTTGATTGACATAATATAAAATTACACAAATGACAATTAATTAACAAAATTATAATAATAAAAATTAATATTAAAAAAATAAAAATTATAAAAACAAATTATGTAAATAATAAAAAACATAACTTTACAATAAAGTAAATACCAAAATCGCAAAATAAAATACCAATAATTTAATTTTAAAATTAGGGAAATCTCCGATAAAATTTTAAAATTTTGGTTCAGTTTACGTTTTACTCCCAACTTAATTTTTTTTTTTAAAAGTCCTAAAAACCAGTAAAACATTGCATTATGACTCTTTTCACCCGGTTAAAATCGGTAACAAATTAATTTGAAACTATTTCGTAATTTTATCCAAAATATTGAGACTTTTCGAAAAAAAAGCTTTGATATTTTTATTATTAATATTATTATTATTATTATTATTTTATTAAAAACGTAAATAAATATATTATTTTTAAAATTCTTTATTATTAGTATTATTAAGTAAATACATGTATAAATACACCAATGTAAGACTAGCATAGTTGGTAGAGGTTTACCTCTTAGATTGGAGGTCTCAAGTTCTGATCCATGCGTTTATGATTTTGTGATATTAACTTCTAAACACTAATCCTGCCTGTAAAAAACATTTATAAATACATTTTAAATACATATTTATGTATAAAAAAATATAATTATATATAAAAATACGTATAAAAATAATAAATACATATAAAAAACATATTTATATAATTTTATACCTTAAAAAAATGTTTTTAAAGTTTTTTTTTTCATTTAAATGTATTTATACATATTATTAAATACATGTATAAATTTTTT